CCTTTCTTAAATAAAACTGGTTTATTCTTTCTGAATATAACTTTGCGATACACTTAATTTCAACAGTACAGCTATAACAAATGTCTCATGTGCTCGAGTTCAATTACACACTCTCTGACTGCAGTTCAATTACTCATTGTCCCGTCACCTTGTGACCATCTTATATATACCAGACTACCCCAATCTAGTAGTCTCTCGATAATTCACGAAGGTTCGAGAAGGACGTAGCGTGATACTAGTCACGTGACCTCGCTGACGCAACAGTATTTAGTTCATCTTTTCCGTTATCTGTTTAAGTATTGTTACGACAGCGGAAGTCGCGTGACTCTGGGAGCATGCGCGCTGGAGTTTCTAGAAGGATCATGACTTATCGCGGAACCTCGCAAATGCCCGAGTGTTTGCCAGACGCCCTCTTTTTTAGTATATATATAAGCCCGGCAAATAAAGCCAGCGATGGATAGATATGCAAATATTCAGTATTTAGTTCATCTTTTCCGTTATCTGTTTAAGTATTGTTACGACAGCGAAAGTCGCGTGACCCTGGGAGCATGCGCGCTGGAGTTTCTAGAAGGATCATGACTTATCGCGGAACCTCGCAAATGCCCGAGTGTTTGCCAGGCGCCCTTTTTTTTAGTATATATATATAAGCCCGGCAAATAAAGCCAGCGATGGATAGATATGCAGATAGAGATAATTGAGTCAAGCGAACAGTAGGCACCGTAGTGAAAGTGTGTAAATCACTGTGATTTATAGCGTGTGTTATAAAGGTTGTTAAGTTTAAAGTGACTGTGGAAATTTTGTGTATTACAAAGTTGTATCGAGAAAAATAAACTAGTTTTAATTAAAAAAGGACTTGTATCACTGAAGTTCCTCTGAAAGAATTTATACCGGAAATTAACAAACAAGCAGATAAGCAACTGTATTTTTACATTATCCCAGTCAATAACGTGTAGAATTCACCATATGTTCTGCCAAAACCGATTCACCTGTTTTTAATTTATCCACCATGTTTTGATGTTCTTTTTCTCTAAATTTTAGGTTCCTACTTGTCTATCCAATATAACTTAGACCACAAGTATATGAAATTTTATATATACCACATTTATCCTTTCAATTTTATAATTAATTGTTCGCGCATATCCACTACCCGGATGGAAATTGGATAGAGATGAGATTTCGCAGCGTACTTTCGAACAGTTGAGTGGCTGTGTTCGGCTACTTAGGTATTTTGGTAGAGTAATACAAATACAGATTTTACTGTGATCCATCGAAGAGAAGTATATAATTCATTCATAAGTTCGAGATAAATTACTCGTAATCTATCGCTTGTGTCAAATGAAGGTTTGTTTTACTTTTAGCTATACTTGTAGTAGTTTGTGACAACTTCATTGACGAAAATCATGTAATAAATTAAAAATAATCTGGTGAGTATGGTTTGTTAAATCTAACTTTCTAAGTTAACTGTTACACGTTACAGTGTTAAGAGAAAATGAACAGTTGTGTACTAAAAGTTCACAAGTTATCATTGGTTCATGGACAAATTTCATGTTCATCTGACTAATATGAACAATTAATCTATTTTAATTAAAAAGAAACGCGTTTTCCTATGTATTAGTATTATTAATACTATTGGTGTTAGTCAGTGTATTACTATTAGTATTAGCTCTAATACTATTACTATTGGACTTGCAGTACTACAACTAGGGCTGATAGTGATGAGCATATCACTTGTCACTGTGTCAGCACTACTCTAGTACTGCTACTTACTAGTACTAGTGCATCTAATCCAAAACATAGAAGATGCATTAAATGATTAATGCTGGTAACTCAAACTAACCTGCAAGTTATTTAAAGTCTATCCTCATTCCACTGCTTATACAGGCATGAATAATAACTCCTCATTCATTTTCCAAGTTTCTTGTGACCATTTACACATTCAATTTAAATGCAAAATGTTATTTGTTATTGTTTCTGCCCCACATCAACAGTTTGTTTTTATTTTAATGTCTATACTTTTATATGTATAAGTACATATATATATATATATTCATAATTTCTCTTCTAGGTAGAATTACTTTTCCTTTTATGCATTTTTTCAATAAAGATGTCATATTAAGAGCATTTTTATAAGCATCACATATGCCATTCAGTAAACTGTTTCTTCCATTTTGAGTCCTGTGCATTTAAATTTATACAAATATTAATAATTTCTAAGACACTGCTGTATGAATTTTCTAAGCTCAAAATGGGAAAATTAAATTGTTTTAAATGTGAATTTTATCAACTGTATATTTTTCAGTCTCCTCTACTACTAATAATAGCAACTCATTCCATAAGCCAATCATTAGTTTTAAAAATAAAACTTCCGACTGTAGTCAAGCCTAGTGTTTCCAAGTATTTTTCCAACTGAGGACTGACTAGTTTTGATTTGAAAAGTTTATTAACAGCTTTATTTAATATTAACTGTTTAAAGTACTTTTATGTTGCATTGTAAAACAGTATATTTCACAAGACCACTTTTTTGTTCAATGGTTTTGTGGACTGGCTGAAATCTCCATGTAGACCAGCTGAGGAACAACTGGTCTAGCCTTTCTTTTCTAAATCATAATTTTATTTTATGAGGCAATGTTAAGGCCTCATTTTGAGTATGGTGTTCATTCTTGGGATCTTTACTTCAGGAAAAATATTGAATAGTTCAAAAGGTTTCAGAGGAGTGTTATTAGGATAATACGTAGGAGGGAAAGATATGAGGACAGCTAAAGATATCTGAAATAGTGTTCTTTTGTAGAAAAGAAGTATTAAAATGGGATCTGACTGAGGTGTTTAAGATTTTTAAGGGTATTGAAGCATCATAGTTTTTTGTATGTGATGTTGACAGTGGTAGGGCTAATGTTCACAAATTTCATGAGGGTAGTAGTATCTTCTGCTAAGACAGTTTTATTTTTCTAACAGAGTGGTTGACCTTTAGATTGGGTTGCCTTCAGGTTTGGTTGATGCATAAAATTTAAGGGAAGGCATGATAAATATTTGAATGATAAGGGCTGTCGTTGAGTTGTTTCAATTTAGAAGTCTAGTGGATGAGACTGCATTGTTGTCCTTGAATTTTATGTTATGTTAAACTTGTGTGTCATTGTTCAAGAATCTTCTGAATGGAAAGCTTTATCCTAGTGATATCATGGAGGATAATCTTTCAACTGTTCTTCAGTGGGACAGCAGTAAGTTTACAGACTAACTGTATCAAAGATGCTGCAGACTTAGAGAGATTTAGGTCATTTGATGCATTGGGCCAATACGTGGCAGATGATGTTTAACTATCCAAAATGTAAGGTGATGCATGTAGGTTTCCTCAATTCAAATTATTGTTACAACTTAAATAGGAATACATTAACTACAGTAGTTGAAGAAAAAGATCCTGGTGTTGTGATCAAAAAATTATTTAAATCATCTAAACAGTGTATTGTAGCTAGCAATAGGGCTAATAGGATTTTGGGTACCATCTATAGAAACACTGAATACAAGACGAGGGATATTATTGTTTCACTGTATTGATCACTTTTAAGGCCTCGTTTAGAGTACTGTGTACAGTTTGTTGCTTCTTTCCTCAAGAAGGACATTGAATTGTTGGAGAAGATTCAGAAAAGAGCCACTAGGATAATACCTGAGATGGTGGGATTGTCCTATGAGGAGAGACTAAAATCTTTTAAACTTGCTGTGTTTAGCAGTGAAAATAATAGGACAAGGGGTCATAAATTCAAATTTTGGCAGCGTAGGAGTCGTCTACAGTTTATACAGTATTACTTTGCAAACAGGGTGGTTGGCTTTTGGAATGAGCTGCCTTCAAGGGTAGTGGAGGCTGAAAATTTATCTGAGTTTAAGAAAATATTGGATGAACACATGAGAGTAATTGGGGGTTATTGTTGGGAGCTGGAGAGACATCCTTGTTGGGCTAATAAGCTCCTTTTGGTCCCTTTAAAATTTTATGAATTTGAAAAAAAAAAACAAATA